GGCTGGATCAGGACCTGATCTGTGGAAGTAGCTGAGCTGGTGTGTTTTCTGCCCCTTTGCTCCTCGGCTTTGCGTCAGGTGTGCAGTGGGTGCTGCTAACAGCTGCTCTGCGTATTCCTCGCACTAACCCCCGGGGGAAGGACCAGCCCACAGCTCCCCAGGCAGAGTTTGCTGTGCACAGACACCCAAGCTCCTCTTCAAACCAGTGTCTCCTTCTGTCTCACACAGATAAGTCTCCAAACTCCACTCGGGATTTGTCTCTCTGCTTGTTCTGCGTCTGCGCCCTGCGCTCACCCTCTTGGCACCTCACCCTGACTTCCAGTGCCTTTTCCCAGTGCCTGTGCACAGGGCACCCCTGGGAATGGGTGCTGGGAACAATCTGAAGCCTGCCAGCAGCAGCAGCTCCCAGTTGTGCTGTGCTTGCTCCCAGACAAAGCTCCCTCTGTGTGCCCTGATGTGCCAGACACAGCCTGCTCAGAGGGGCTGCCCTGGCTGTGTTGGGGGGAGCTGGGAGGATGTTGTTCTCATCTGCATATCTTGTGTGGAGCCATAAAGCTCCTTTTGTACTTCTCTTGCCTCTTGCTCGAGCATGATGTCACCTTTCTGAAGGAAAACAGTGTCAATGGGGCAGAGTGGCTGAGGCTGGGGGGAGTTGGTGCTGAGCACTCACTGCTTTAGGGTCACTGTGTCAGCACTGCCCTCAGCCTGGTGTCCCCCTCAGTGGGGCACAGAGCTCCCTAGCACACTGGATTCTCCCTGGGGATGTGTCCCTGGCTCCCAGATGCAGTGGGAGCTCTGCAGCAGGGTCAAACGGGGGTCGCAGCACGAGGCCCTGGAGCTGTGCCTGGCTGAAGACAACACTCCCCATTCCTGCCTGCTCTGGAGCATTCCCAGCTCCAGTTGCCAAACCCTCGCTTGCAGTGGGAGGTCACACACCTACAGTCACTAGGTCAGGCTGTGGAAGGGAATAAACACTGCCTGAGCTCTGCTGGGCTCCACTGGGGCAGCACTGGGTGGGTGCAAAGTGCTGGTGGGGAAGTGGCACATGTGGCACTTTGCTTCAGGGATGAGAGGGCACTGCAGCAGGGCTGGGGGGGGTCCAGGGCAGGGAATTGGCCTGGCAGAGCTCTCTCCCCTCCTCGTGGAGGGGCTGAGGGCAGCAGGATCTGCTGGGGATGTGGCATGGAGCTTTCACTGGTGGCTGCAAATACCTCCTGTGTGTCACCTCTGCACCGTTTCTGGTTGCTGTGGTGTGATAGACACTGCTCAGCCTCTCCTGGTGGGATGTGCTGCCTCGTGGAGGCTGCTCAAATACCTTTTCCTTTCTGGGTTGGTTCATCTGGCACAGGGCCCGAAGAGCCCTCCGTGAGCAGAGCTCTGGTGACATGGGACAGCTCCCGTGGATTCCTCAGGTTTGTGTCCCTCTGGTCTCCTCACAACAGCACCAGGCAGGACATCCAGGCACACTCACCTGCCCCAGCCTGTTCCTCACTCTCTGAGTGGGGAAGGAGGGAGCATTCCAAGGAATTTCAGAGTGGGGGCACAGCAACAACCCAGAGCTCCTCAGGAGCCCAGCTGGAGTTGGGGGTCTGGATCCTCTGAAAGGGGATCCAGTGTGGAGGTTTCCAAGCCAAGTGTTCCACTGTTGGCTCTTGAGACATCTGGAAGCTCATCCATGTCTGCCAGTGCCTGCAGGGAGGTGTCAGGGGATGGATCAGGCTCTGCTCTGTGGTGCTGAGCAATAGGGCAAGGGGCACTGGGCAGGAGCTGATGCACAGGAAGCTCCACCTGAACATGTGGGACATTCCTGTGTGGGTGGCTGAGCACTGGAACAGATTGCAGAGAGGGTGTGGAGTCTCCTCACTGGAGATATTCCTGTGCCATGTGCTCTGGGCTGGCCTTGCTTGAGCAGGGAGGTGGGAGCAGTGACCCACTGTGGTTCCTTCCAACTTCACCCCTTCTCACTGGGTGGGAAGTGGCAGCTTCTCTCCTCACAGGGAGGTCCTGTCATGGGTGGTTTGTTCCTGACTCATGCCATGGGGAACTGGTGGCTCTGCTCTGCACAGAGGTGTTCCAGGAGATGTTATCACAGGCTGTGCTGTGCCAGGCCCTTTTCCTGCCTGTCCCGATGGAATCCAGGCTGCGTGGCAGGTGGATGGGTGGGTGGGTGATGTAACATCTGCCCTGGGAGGTTTTGGAGGCATCTGGTCTGACTGGATTGCTGGGCTTGTCCTGGCTGGTTGCTATGAGCTGGGATGTGACTTGGGAGAGCTGCAGATGCAGGTTAGGTGACCAGGAGGGCCAAGTCCTGGGGCTCCACAGGTCCTGGGACTCCCTGGATGGATGGAGAGGCTGTCCTGGGGCTCCCTGGGTGTCAGGAATGGCTGGAGAGGCTGTCCTGGGGCTCCCTGGATGGCAGAGATTGATGGAGAGGCTGTCCTGGGGCTCTCTGGATGGATGGAGAGGCTCTCTTGGGGCTCCCTGGATGGCAGAGATTGATGGAGAGGCTGTCCTGGGGCTCTCTGGATGGATGGAGAGGCTCTCCTGGGGCTCCCTGGACAGATGGAGAGGCTGTCCTGGGACTGAGTGGAGAAGGGAAAAGGCCAAACACTGTCCCTAGCTGCCACAGACCTGGGCAAGCATTCCATGCTGTTCCCAAGGTCTAGGAAGGGTCATGCTAAACACTCCAGTTTGCTCCTCGTGTGGGAGGATCAGCAGGTCCCTGTCCAGTCACTGATCCTTCTGACCACAGTTCACTCCCATCCTCTGCTGCTCCAGAGACAGAGGACCAGCCCAGATCAGCTGGGGTTGGCATCAGGGTGCCCAGGTGACCTGCTCAGAGCCAGAGTCCCTGTACAAGGTGTGGGGCAGGGTGGGATATACCCACAACCTCCCTCAGCTTCCAGGCTGTGGTGGCACAGAATCATTGGCTTCTCTGGCTGTGCCTTGGTGGCTTT